AAAACAGCCCAGCGTCCGGTGGTTCCTGCACACAGCGCCGGCGGGCCCGCGCGATCCCAGCGTCCCAGAAACACGCCTAACGATCAGATCACCCTTCCAACCCCCAGGCCCCGTTTCCGCCCGCCATCCCCTCCCGGCATCTGTAGCACTTTCCCACCCTGATAGAGGGAGCCTGCACACACACCGCCATTTATAGAAGCGGAGCGCCCGTTTTTCGCTGCTTCCGCCCGGCCCCGTCTAGCCGCCCGCCCAGCCGCCCGCCCAGCCGCCCGCCGACACTTGCGGTCCCCACAAAAACACCAATTTTCGGCGTATGGACACGCAGTTTGACTGGCTCGGCTCCTTGCAGCCGCCCGCGTCCGCACACGCGCCGCCACCGCCGCCGCCGCCCGCGGTGTCGTTCGGAAATGCCGCCGGAAACGGCGCCCTAGATCCGCCGGCGGCAAACGAAACACCAGCGCTAAACGAAACACCAGCGCTAAACGAAACACGAACGGCAAACGAAACACAAACGGCAAACGCAACACACACACAAGCGCCCAACGCAACACACACACAAGCGCCCAATGAAACACAAACACCGGCGCCGCCCGGCGCCGCCAGCGTGCCGCTCTCGCTCACCGCCCAGCAGCTCTCGCCCGAGGAGGCCCGCACGTACATGCGCTGGTACCTGGACATCTTGGCGCGTGCCAACCTGCGCACCATCGCCATCTCCGACGTGTACCAGTTCCTCGGCAACTTCCGGCTCGCGCCCGCCACGCGCGCCAAGATCAACCGCGTCTTCTCCAAGATCCTCCTGCTGATCAACATCGGCGAGTTCTTCGCCGTGCTCCGCGTGGTGGCGCACGCGTTGCAGGGCCGCGAGCCCGCGCGGGCGCTCATCCAGACGCCCACGCGCGTGCCGCGGCCGCCGTCCATTCTCTCGCAAAAACGGCCCAGCGACGACGCCGCCGACGACACGGGCCGCGCGGGCGCGGTCTCCGCGCCGCTCGACATCGACCTGTTCACGCAGTTCTTGTTGACCGGCGAGCGGCCCACCGACCGCGGCGCCGCGCCGCCGCGCAAGCGCAAGAGCGTCAAGTTCTGCGACCAGCTCGTGTCCGACATCCGTGCCACGCCCGCGCCCGCGGAGCCCGCGTGGGACGACCTGCTCCCGATGGACCAGTTGATGTCGCGCATGCACGTGGCGGCGGCGCCCGCCGCGGGCGCGGGCCTGTTGGCGGTGCCGTGGCGCAACGCGGCGGGCGCGTCGCCGGACCCCGAGGAGCGCCAGATCCTCCGTGACATGGCGCCGCAGATGAACCACTTCCGGAACCTCCACTCCGTGGACACGATCCTGGTGGGCGGCGTGCCGGCCACCATCCACCTCCCGGAGCACTCGGACTTGTTCCTGCCGCGCAACGCGCTGCCGCAGCCGCCGTTGCTCCGGCCCAACATGACGGGGCCGGCGCAGATGGCGCAGATGGGCCCGCCGCCGCTCCGCCCGAACGCCACGGGCCCGCACGACATGGCCCGCTTCCTGTCGCCGCCGCCCCCCGGCGCGCCGCGCGTGTCCCTCCAGGCGTTCACGTCCCAGATGGCGGGGCCCACCGTGGACAACACGCAGCAGAACGCGCGCATCGGCGCCGTGTCGCCGCCGCCGACCCCGGCCTCGCGCCGCGCCCGCTCCGCGTCCCTGCCGAGCCCCGGCCCGCTCGCCTGGGACCCACCGGCGGGCCGGAACAGCGCCGCCTTCAACCCCCACCTCGCCGCGCCGGCCGCCACGCCCGGGCCCCCGGTGCCGGCCCGGTCACTGCTCGGCCATGCGCACGGCACGCCGCCGCCGCCGCCGCCGCGCTCGAGGCGCGCAGGCAGCACGTCCTCCCCGGTGCCGCCGCCGCTCCCGGCCAAGATCCCCAACGCGCCGCTCTACCAGGCGCCGCAGGGGAGCTCGAGCACGACAGACATATTGGACGATTTGAAGGCCCTTCAGGAAGAGGTCGACAAGATCAGGGACTTGACCGGCGGCTTCTAGTGGCCGCGCGCGCCAAAAAGAGGATATTGTTTATGTAAATACTAATTCAGTGTTACTCTGGGAGTCGAATTGAAACTTGGCGGCGCCCGTCACTCTTCAAGGGCCTCGTTGGCCTTCTTCATCATGGCGATCCTCACCAACGGCGCCAAGGACGCCACGCTTCCGCTCTCGCAGACAAACTTGTCCTTGAGCAACTGCTCGGCCGTGCCTCGCTTGTTGAAGTCCACCTGAAGACACCACGCAAGAAACCTCTTAATGTCGTAGCTGAGAGCTTCCGGCTCCTTCAACTTGGGCGTGCCGTTGGTGGCGATCAAGTACAACGCCCGCAAGGGCGTCTCGTTCAAGTACGGAGGCTCGCCCTCGATCATCTCGATGACCATGATGCCCAAGGACCAGATGTCCACCTTGGGGCCGTACTCTTTCCGGGACACCACCTCGGGCGCCATCCAGTAGGGCGTGCCCACCATCGTGGTCCTTTTGACATTGAGCTCGTTGATCTGCGCGCAGAACCCAAAGTCCGTCATCTTGATCTGCCCTTCGGTGTTGAGCAAAATGTTGTCCGACTTGATATCTCGGTGGATCACGCCCTTGCTGTGGAGGAACTGGAGCCCCCTCAAGGTCTCGCGACACACCGCGCCTATCTGGCTTTCGGTCATCACGCTGTGTGTGACTATTTCGGTCAAGGAGCCCCCCTCCATATATTCCATCACCACCCAGAGCTCGCCTTTCAAGAGATACGAGTCGATGTAGTTCACGATGTTCGGGTGCCGGCTGTCCTTCATCACGAGAATCTCGTTGATGATCAACTCCTTCTTGGGCTGCTGCTCGAGGTTCATTTGCTTGATGGCAACCACCTCCTGCGAGCTCACGGTCTTGGCGATGTAAACGCCGCCCGAGGCGCCCTGCCCGATTTTATTTAGGTCCTTGTAGTAATTCGATGGGTTTCCCTCCGTGCAGATCTCCCGCAACTTGGTGATGATTTGCTGGTTCTTGCGCCGCTTTTCTTCTCGCTTCTTCTGCGCTAGTAGAGCCGCCAGCTTCGCGTCACGGCCCGCCGGCTTCAGGCTCACTGCGGCCGGGGCCGCGTCGTTCTCCGGTTTCGCGGCGTCCTCCGCAGCCTGCGTCTTGTTCACTGCTGGCTTCTGAAGAGCCACCGCACGAGCCTCGACAGGGGGCGGGGGCGGGGGCCGGTGTGCCCTGAAGTCATCACCGTTGAATTTGGGCGCTGCTTTGATGGGTGCCGTGACAGGCTCCCTGCGGTCGTGTTCGGGCCGCGTCTTGGCAGCGAGATATGCGTTGTGGGACCTGGACTTGGGTAATGTGTGGTGCGCTCGCGTCAGGTCTGCGGCGTTGGGTAAAGGATGGACGGAGTGGTCGGAGGACTTGCCCGCGCCGATGTTTTTGAGCGACTTGATGGACTTGGACGAGAAGGAGCGGCGGCCAAATGAGTGTTTCCGCCCGTTGGACGGCGGCGGCGTCTGCATGGGATCGGGGACCTGCGGCGACGACTGCTGGACCGGGGGTCTCGGGGCCGGCCGGCTTGGGATGAACAGGCCGTCGTGCAGCTGGTTTGGCGACTTGAGAGGCTGGTTCCCGGGCGGCGCATGCGGCGTGCCGAACCCGCTGGTGTGGCCGAGCTGCTGCACGGGCGTGGAAATGTGGTCAACCAGGTCCGTGCTTGATGGTATGGTAGGTGTCGACGGCGGCGTGTACGCGGCCGGCGAGTTGGGGGAGTGCGTGTTCCGCGTGGAAGAGTTGGACGACACGTTGGCGCGCAGGTCCATCTGCTTGAACTTCCTGAACGCATTGTCGTCCGCGTTCTCGCTGGTGTCCTGGTAGAACGCGACGATATCCATGACGGCCTGGGGATGCTGCTGCTGTTCGGTCCGCGAGATTCCGCTGGCGCTGAGAAGCCTCTCCCACTCGGAGGGGAGGCCCGTGTACGAGCCGTCGTCGTCGATGCCCACGTGCGCCACGTGTTTGGCGTTAAACGGCGTGCTGATTTTCTTGCTCAAGTCCGGCGACGACGGGTGGTGGCTGCCGCCCGACAGGCCCTTGGACTTGCCGAACATGGACGTCAACACGCCCTTGACGCGGTTGCCGCTCTTCCGCCGTCTCAGAAGACTGCTGCTCGAGGTGGGCATGTGGGGGACGGCCGGTCGTTCCAGGCCCAACGGGGTCAGCTGGAGCGACGCCGGGGGGAGCGCGGGCGTGGACTGCGGCGTGCGGTCGCGAGCCACGGGCGACGTTTGGTTGGCGACGGTTTTGGGCGCAGGCGCCAGGTGCGGGGTTCGGATCACCGTCAGCATAGACGACGTGCGTTCGGTCGCGCCGTTCTGCGTCGACGCGTCGAGGTAGCTGATGCTGAGCCCCGACAAGTCCGCGTCGGGTGGCCGGGTGTCCTGACTGGCGCCCGTGGACCGGGTGTCGTCCATGCCGGACGTGTCCTCGCCGTTGCGGGCGTCATTTCGATCGTTCTCCGGGAGCTCGGACCTGTAGACCAGCAGCGCCAGCAGCGCGGACTTGCGGCTCTGCGACAGCTCCTCGAGAAGCTCCTGGAGGTCTATGCTGGCCGCCAAGCCCGCGGGCGCGGCCTGCGGCTTGCCCGGATCGAGCATGGACTGGTACTTCTCGATGTCGGCCGTGCCGAGATAGGGGCTGTTGGAGAGCGGGAGGTTCTCGAGGAGAAGGTCTCCGCGCGCCGGGACTTCGGGCGACAGGTCGCGGTGCTCGTGCTCGCTGGAGAAGCACGGCGATGCAGCAAGCGCAGCATCACTGGGGGCGCGGGGCACGGCGTCCCTGGTGGGAGTCACGTTGCGCGAGCTGTTCGGAGACAGCGTCACGCCGCTGCCGCGCGCCCTGAGCATCTCCGACACGCCGGCCGCTTCCAACACCCTGCGCGCGTCGCCGTGCATGCCCGAGAGCTGGGGGCTGGCTATTGCCGGCACAATGGTGGGCGGTTTGCTGTGCGGGATGGGCAGATGGGGCGTCCCGAGAGCCGTAGCAAGGGGCAGCACGGGCCGCGGCGGCCTCGCGGCGTCGGGGGGATGGTGCATGCCGGGCCCGGGCACGTCGAGTTCCTGCCTCTCGATGGACTCGTGCGTTTGGTTGGCTAGAGGCGCGTCAATGGCATCTGTGGACGCGGCCGTCAAGCCGGAAATGTCGAACGTGCCGGGCATCCGAGGAATGGCGGCCGGCGAAGCGGCGGCAGCGCGTGGCGGGCCCGGCGCGGCAGCATGTGAGCGGCCTGGCAGGCCCGTCGGACTGGGCCCGCTGCCTTCAGACGGGGCGATTTCACGGGCGTCTCCCGCGGCCGATTCAGGCTGTTTTGGCGCAGCGGTGTCGTGCGGCAGCACATGAGGATGCTGGAGACTGTCCCCGGGCCGTTGGGGCTCCGCCGGGGCGGGCAGAGTGGGCGACGCTTCGGCCCAAGAGGCAGCTTTGCCGAGCTCGGGCGCAGGGCTTGAAGGGCCGGGGCGGGGCGTCGACATTGTGGGGGCGCAGGGGGAATGGCGGGCAGCTGCAGGTCTTGGTGGTGTTTCCCAGGCGCACGGTGCTGAGTGTGTGGGAGAGTGGGCGTGGCTTTCGTGTGCTTGTCCGAGGCAGCTGGAGATGTTTCGAAAACTGGGTGCGCGCTGTATGCTTCACCCGAGATATGTTAGGCCTCAGTGGGTCTTCGCACTTCTGGCTGGGGCTCCTGCAGGGAGGCGCGCGCGACTCGTTTCGGTGTTTTTTTTTTTTTGAGACTGTATTGGGTGTGTCTGTGCTTGAGACTGTATTGGGTGTCTGTGCTTGAGGCTGTTTGTGCGTCTGTTTTTGGGGGTTTTGCGTCTGTTTTCGCGTGTTTGTGGCGTCTGTTCTCTGTGTGCTTGTGGCTTCTGTTTTGAGAGTTTGGGGCGTCTCTTTTTAAGTGTTTGTGTGTCTGTTTTTGAGTGTTTGTTTGTCTGTTTTCGAGGGTTTTTTTAGTGTTTCTCTTTAAATTCTCAACTGTTTGTGTTTCTTTCTAAACTGTTGGTGTCTCTCTGTTTCAAGGATCTGAGTCTCTGTTTTGAGGGTTTGTGTCTTTGTTTCGAGGTTTGTGTTTTTGTTTCGAGGGATTGTCTCTGTTTCGAGGGTTTGTCTCTATGTTTCAAGGGTTTGGGTTTGTCTCTCTGCTTCAAGACTTTGTCTCTGTTTCGAGAGCTTGTCTGTTTCCCACGCTTTGTCTATCTGGTTGGAAGCCTCGCGGGTGCGAAGCCTGGGCGCGGCAAGGAGGCTGGGCGGTTTAGGGGTACCTAGGGGCCAGCGGCTAAACGGCGAAAGAAAGATATCCAAACCAAGCCAAAAAAAAAGGCACGACACTGCGGGTGATGCAGCCGGGCCTGTGCTTGCGGGGCCAAGAAAACCACTCTGTGATTCCTGTTTCATCCAGCGACGAGCGGACGAGTTGCCGCCATTTAGTGTGCAAGCCCACGGTCGGGATATGATCCAGCAGTGGCCTGACTGTCTGCAGGCCGCGTGCTCCCTTTCGGGCACGACGCGGCGTGCGCGTGTGTGCAGGCCGCACCCGCACGACCTCTTGCCCTAGACGTGGCCCACGTTTGTAAAAGAGGCATGCTTCAGGATGCAATCACATACCATTCTGCGCAGGCGTGCGGTCAGAGCTATTGGGCCTCGTTCGCCAAGAATTTCCAGCGTTGCGGAAAGCGAGAATACGCCGCGGTTCCAAAGCCCAATTCCTAGATTCGCATACACGCACTGCGAAGCCTTCGCACTTGATACCCATCTAAATTGCAGTCGCCGATTTCCGAAGCTCGTCTCGAGGCCCGCCGGCCTGCCCTGGACAACAGATTCCAACACATGCTGCGGTCTGTTTTTTTTTTGAAGCTTGCACAGACTTGACCGACGTTGCCGACGAGATGCTGCCACGAATACTGGGCCGGTTCCGGAAAGGCATACTGGCTGCCTCTCGCGAACCCCGACGGCTTTAGGCCAACGTGCATTTAGAGATGATTTTGAACTCCTCGTGCGTTAGGTCTCGGCCCTTTGGCCTCATTGCACGAGTGCAGGGCCGTTTGCTGTAGAATGGTACGCGCACGTCCCTCTGCCCCGACACTCGTTCTAACATTTTTCTGGGGTTCCAGTACTACACTCATGTGCTGCTTGTGCCCCCTGAATCTGTCCGTTCGACATTTCTCGAACTGGTGGAATCAATAACTCACGACCGGTGGAATAGTCTCATTTCGGCATTCCTATATGTCGGTGCGAAATGCGTGCGACGCAGGCGAACCGATATCTCTTGCAGGTTGATTTCGGAAATGTAATCGTGTCATACATGTGAAGCACTTTCGGATCCAATTCCATTTCAGGTGTTTCGGGACACATGCCGCCTCACGACTTTTGACTCGTGAAGTGTTAGAAATATGATTAGTTCAGTACGGTTGTCATGATTTCGAGGCATATAAATGTGAATTTCTTAAAAAATGAGAGTCATACATCTCAACATAGTACAGCAGCTACTGGCTTCAGCATTTTCTCAACTATCAAAAAAGTCATTGTGAGCCTTGTTTTGCAAAATCTGATATTTCTAGAAAAAAAATAGGCTAATTCGGGGTTCCTTGGGCCATGTCTCGAGCGAAGTAGCGAGACCCAAGATAGCTGTATCTTGATTTATGATGATTATTTGAAAAGAAAAGAATCTCAAGAGAGCTTTCCAAAACCCTAAATGAGCTTCCTGTTTGGATCATTCAGGCAATCCGTGGGCTATCTCCTGATACAGCAGCTCGTGTATTTCAAGCCACCGTTCGGCTGGCCCATCAGACTCAGCAATTGTCCCAAAATGGGAAATTGAAAAAATTTACGAGTCGGTGTTCACGTCCGTGTGTCTTTAATAAGACTCTGATCCATCAAACGTAGTACCTTGGTTATTTCCTCATCGTCATCTGTTTCTTCATCTGCAGGCCGATCATAGTAAGTGAAAAAACTGGGATTTAGGATACAATTACCTCTTCCGAAATAAATGCCTATTTTGCCAAATGAAGAGATATTATAATGTCTTGCTTGCAAATATTTCTTTTTTTTGTCAATAATTGGAACGCACCGCAAAAAATTTTGATAGCCTTGTGATTTTCATCTTGTCTTGTTCCAAGAACAATCTTTCCTAATATTCTTCGCTTTGGGGGAATCTTTCTATTTATTTGAAAGCTTTAAGCACTTTTTGTGGGCTTTCCAAGTTAAATCAGTGTTTCGATCAAAGTTAAATGTTATGCTCGTATATAGGAGAGTTGACTATCTGAGCCCCCCAAAAAGACTTTGAAGGAATACTTCAATTGCAATCATGTCTATTTTCCCGAGTCCATAAACCCTGCTTCTTATCATACTATTTGAATGAGGCACGAAAAAAATCGAGACGTCGTTTACAACTCGTACCGGTCTGTAGTCATATGTACAACAATTCTTCGCGAATATTCTCTTAATAGTCAGTGCGTTAAAAGTATGAGATCCGAAGAGAGATTTCAGCTTGTTTTTTTTATCGGGAGTGCGGTAGTGCGGTACTTGAAGACACGTTGTCTTTCCAAGGTCTGGCAGATCTGTACTTTTTGAAAGTGTAAAATAGCGAGCTGCAGAATTCCATTCTATTTATTTAATTCTCTTCATATGCGCATTTAATTCATGTTTTACAAAATCGCAACGAGTTCTTAATCTTCACATGCTGAGGCCCTGTTCAGAAGTATATCTTTTGACCGTTGTTCTTCGGATTTACTTAGAAAACAGACAATGCCGCAATGCCAATTTAGCTTGGGAGTGTTTCTTCGGCTTGCACTCCTCAAAAAAACAACGAGAAAATATATTCCCGCCTAATACTAATCGCGATATCATCTTGTAAAGGTAATAGCTTGGGTGCTAAAGCAAATCTGGTCGAGGTCCAACGATATGCTTTTCACCTCTGCGAGAGGCGCTGCCAACATCATCCCCTGCTACTCTCATAAAACAGATCCACTGAACTTCCAAAAATCAATAATCGTGGGCATTTCAAAGCCAATTTCAATTTACAGGCCCTCACATTTTACCCAAACCACAATATTGGACCCTGGCTATCAAAAGCATCAAGGATATGCAACTTCCTCCTTTCGCTTGATCGGAGCAAAATAATAATATTGCGAACAATCAGGAATACGTGCCGTGTAACAGAAACCGGCTAGCCTTTTCATTCACTATGGCTTGTACAGCCCTCTTAGCACGCACCTACGTACGTATTGAATACGATACCAACCATTTATAGGATTCGTCCTCGGTAGTAGTCGCCTCAACTCAAATGCCTCAAGACTCCGGGAGCTCACTTCCTGTGACTCATGACATCATTGAGTATGCACCTTGAAGATTGTGGTGACAAACAAATTCGTATTAGTTTGGAAGATCTGAGCTCTTGCCATCAGAATTTGGGTGTTTCATCTAAGCCTTCTTTGTTCTGGTAAAATTATCTAATAGAGGGAGGTAAAAAATAGAATCGTACAAGAAACAGCTTGGCGGATCCCGGATACGTACCCAGCGTCATGCAAAATATGTAAAGGATGTATTCCTGTTTATATACAGAATATCTAAGAATGACTGTATATGACAATTATACTGTCCTTGGATTTATTATGAAACAGCCTTGAGCTGTCTCTTAAACTACGAGTAGATCGGTTTATAGATAGTTCAGCCTTAGTGGATATGCCTAGTCTATCTGTCGTATTCTCGATGTCTAAAAAGTGTTGTCCTTCTTCAGGGATGTCTTAGCCTCACGCCCCTTTATAGTTCGGAACCATTCTATACAGTAGGTGAGGGGTAACCCCGATCAGGAATGTTTAGACTCTTCGTCCTTCGTATTATACAGGATGACGCGAATCTATAATCTTGTTCATGTCGTATCATAACAGGATTTCGTTTGCGGCCATACCATGCAGGAAGCACTGTTTCCCGTCCGATCAACGTTAGTTAAGCTGCATAGGGCCACACTGAGTAGTGTAGTGGGAGACCATATGCGAAATTGTGGTGCTGCAATCTTTTTTGCCGGTCATAGCTTTTTGCGTACTTTTTGTTACAATTTTTACAGTGCTCTTTGATTGGGTAATTTAAAAATTTGTGAGCTCCTACACAGTTCAACAGCATAGCGATTAGTGAATGGAAGCTGCAGGCAATACGAGGCATTTTACATGTTGTTTTTTAGAAGTAGATATGAGCGGAAGTCGGTTCAAGTTTCAATTAACACTCAGGATCGTTCCTGGGCATATCGTTGGTGATATATAATCGTTTCATGATATGTGCTTGGCTGACGGATGGCTGGCAACATGTTTGATGTATGGCTGTATCATGAGACACCAAGATTGAAGAGCTGAAACACTTCACATGCGCTATGAGGTTAGACTCGGATAGTTATTCTGAACGTCTGCAACAAACACAAGAAATGAGAACCTAGGCTGAAACGGGGCGTCTTCAAACAAACAGATTATCCGTGATATTACAGCACAGAAAGGTCGGATTCATCTGCTCGTACCTGATATGATTGCTGGTAGATACTCTCTTCATTCGTCTGAAAGTTTGAGTGCGATGATTTTTATTAAAAAACTCTCAGATGAAACATCATGGAATATACGGGTATTTTTCATCAGGCTAACTGATAAAAGGGCGTCTTAGTTTGAGCGTTCAGCGTTTTAATTGATCATGCAAAGCATGACTTCCAAGTCACCGGCACCAGCCTGAAGCACTTCGAATATCGCAACCATGAAAATTCAAAAGAGGAAAGAAATAGGAATGTCCTGAATAGAAAATACGTACAGCAAACCACCTCTGTGTGTGAGGATGATTAGATGGGAGCCACGCAGCCCCACCTTTTTACGCTTATACCTCTTGCGCATATGTCTTGCCAGTAAGCTCTGATATAGTGTGTCCGGCATACAGTCCGCCTGGCCCAATGCGAAGTCGACATTTTGAAAACCTACAACGGCTTTCCATCCACCGATCTAATATTTATCCAATTGTATGTGTGGGATGATTTAGAGCAAACATACCAAAGCAACAGCATGTGAAAGCTCCAACTCTGTGGGTCTGTGGTCATTTTGTGTGTCTCGCTGCTTTTTTGTGCCGCGGCTTCCACTGCCGTTCTTTTCGTCGAACTTTTCCACTAACATCTATCCATAGTTACATAATGTCCGATCAAAAACAAGTTGCTACGTCTACCTCTCAAAGCTTGTTGAACGATAAGGTATGTGTCATTTTTCCTATCAAGATCTAGGGCTCCGATATTCTGCTATATGACGCCGAGGTGTTACATGTGGTATTACTCTTTGCTCGTCTAGCCAATCAAAGAGCCGAGATATAGGGAACACTTAACAAGATTCCTGGTGTGTGCATACTCCATGAAGAACACTCGAGAAAATCTCAATTTAGGCCGCGAGGTCCTGAAAGCTTTGTTCTTATAGGCCATACATACTAACAAACAGTGGGATGTTGTTTTGTCCAACACCATGATCAAAACCGCTTTGGGTTTTGGCGGCGGAGTTTTGGCTTCCGTTCTTTTATTTAAGAGAAGGTCGTTCCCTGTCTGGCTCGGTGTTGGTTTCGGTTTGGGCAGAGGATACTCTGAGGGTGATGCCATTTTCAGATCCGACTTCGGCACGAGGTCCTACAAGGCTTAAGACCACCCAAACGCACGACTATTCGAAGGAACTAGAACAATAAATGATAATCTCACAGAATGCCTAGCAAAAATTTTTGTAGAACCTTGGTATGGTACGTATAGCTGGCAGGACAACGGAACCGACACGTGAAAACAGCCTTGAACCTTCAAGCAGATATCAGCTGTGTTGAGAAGTGCTTGCATTGGGAGAGTCACAACGCTGCGTCTCCACCAGATCCACGGCTTAGCGTTGGGCGAGCCTCATTTAGCGACAGCTGGCAATCCAAACATTCTCGAGATCCGTCCCGCTTCCGATTTGCGATATCTGTGGACCGGCTGAGGGCTATCGATTTGGCCTTGATGGCGGCATAGAGCGTAGCCACAATCGCCTCAAGCAAGAAGAAATTCTGCCTCATGCCCTCGCTCTTGAAATTTAACCTTTCAATTCCGGACCGAGGCCGCTCAGTTTCTGAAATCTCGTCCGCCGAGGGCATCTGGAGGTTTTCTTTCAAGGACCGGCTGCTGCCGTCTGGCTCGCTCACACTTTGCTTCGCCTCTTTGAATTTAGATGCGTCGATTGACTGTAGGAGATCGGCGATCCTATCGATGATGCGGCAAGGAAACTGGGCGATTTCGGAGCAGTCGAACGTCAACAAATGGATGGTCACCGAGTAGATGAACCTGTTGGTGATCAAGGAGTTGCTGAGGAAGTTGTTGATCCCGGCGTTGAAGAAGCACGCGAGCGACTTCTTCAGACTGAATTCCACGTTGCAACGCAGTGTTGACATGGCCATCTTGCAGAAGTCAGGAAAGCACTTTGTGAATGTTTCGACAAACCAGACGTCCGACGCCATCAATCTATATGTGTTTCTGCGGTAGACCTTGAGAATGTGAGCCAAGTTGTCTTTGTTCTGGTGCGCTGACGTGTCGTAGAAGAGGCCGAGGATCAAATCGACGCTGTTGCTTTCCAAAACCTTACATATGAAGTCCCATACGACGAGCTCCTCTTGTTCTGTAAGTGGCTCTTTAGTGGCGTTCCGCATGACAAGCACCATCCGTGTGTCTGTGGACTCTGCAATGATCGCGTCGAGCTGAGGATTGTGTGACACCATGTTCAAGAAATAAAGGGACACCTCGAATAAGACCTTCCATGAATCAATCGAATGAAGGAACAGCTCAAAAAGCAAAAGCACCTGGTCGCAAACTACTCTTCCCTGGAGCACATCGCAAAAGAAGAGAAGCTTCCATGCGTTTTCCAGGTCCCACAAACTGGAGATTTCGCCCCAAGTGACTTTCTTTACAAGAATGCTCAAGTTATCTGTCATGTACGACAGCAAGTATCGGTCCTCTTTGCACGCAGTGAGGCAGAATGACACCTGCTCAAAGAAAACAGGAATGTGCTGGACCAAAAACGCGTATGGGAGGAACTCGCCGTGGTGATCAAAAAACGACATCACGAAACTTGGGTTTGCCGAAAGGCCGCATATGAGCTTTTCAGAAATAGGGATGTTCGTGTACCCCGTCAACTTTGGGCTTGGGCTTTCGAGCGCAGCTTTGTATAGCTTGTGGTAGAACAGACAAACGAGCTTGTTGGTGTGGCTCTCTCGGTACTGAAGTCCCAGGGACAAGTCGCCTTGGCCCTCGAATATGGTCAGAGTCACCAAATGAAAGAGACTCAGGATCTCGGTTTCCAAGTCCTCGGAGATTTTTTCATGGTTCCAGGCTTCGCTCGCGGAGCTGAGAAGATCCGATTCCAAGAAGTTTTGCACGATATTCTGCACTGTTTCTGACAGGGGCATGGACTGGAGCTCGGAGTTGATGGTGGAGAGGATCGCGGTGCAGTCTGCTGGAGAGTCGCCACTATTGAGAAATTTGCGGAGGGCATTGGCAGCGGTCTCTATGCCGATCTTTACAGTCCGATCTTGTGTGAGCATACCTTGATGTACTAATTGGGCTTTGGTGGGGGCGTTCTCTGCTGTTGTTTCCGATAAATTGCACAAGAGTAGAGATGTGCAATGGGTGCAAAAAAGCACCGGCGCGCCAGCACTAAGTTCCAGGCGAGACGAAAACCACCAAAAACCTCAGATTCAGCGGCCACTGGGAATTTAGCAAGCATGTCACCGCTTTTTTGTCGGCATTTACCAGGAGCAAAAACGGGCTTGGTTTTCCTCTAACTCTCTTCTTTTTTTTTTTTTCTTGACTCCCATGCCATATCTTGCAGAGCCTCGGACACGGCTTCTTTCCTCGGATGGCCCTGCGTGAGATGCCCGCAATAGGTCTCCCGCTTGGAAAGGGCAGCCACACCCGAATGGGGGTCTTGCCGGAAAAACAGCATGCAGGCGACCAAAACGAAACTTCGACCAAGTTCCCAGAGCTCTCGTGAATGCAGGGGCTTGGACTTGGGTGTTCCTTGTGTCAGCTTCGAACGTTTCATATCGCAGACCAAACCCTCAGTGTTGCGCCGGCAACGCCACTTGTGAAACGCGCCTCACACACCCTGTTTCAAGGCACCGGTTTTGCAGCACTACACACATATGTTTTTCTTACAAAAAGAGCTGCAATCCTCGAAGCATCTTCTTTTCTCTCTCACTTTCTCACAACCATACGAGTCTGGAGTTCGCCCTCCCCTTCTGATATTGCTTCTCCACCAAACGGATATACTTCGCCCGCTCCCATAACTGAAACTTATTTTCTCCGGTCTGGATCAGGATCAGATCACAAAAACAGCAGCCAAGTTCGGGAAAGAAATGTATACGTATTCCCGGCACAGCAACAAACCATCATCGTCGGCGGCTAGCTCGTCCGGGGGGAGCAGCCGGTCACGTGACCGCCGGCGCATGTCCCTGACGCTGGGCAGTTCTGCGCACACCTCGGACGTGGGCGCCGCGCAGAGCACCAAACGCCAGCGCCCAATCGAGAACGACTACTCCAACAACTACCTTCACACGCGCGCGCTCTCCACGCAGTACATCCGCAACATCGTGCGCCCCACCGAAGGGTACCCAAAGTTGCAAAAATTGAAGGAGCTAAAGTCGCAGCAGGTTGCGTCCCATTGCACGAAGCCGTACGGCGTGCACGTGGAAACCAACCAGATTGTGCCGACACTCAACCGCTGGGTGAACCAGTACGCGCTCCAGTTTGACGTGATCATGATCGGCGCGCTTGTGGAAAACCAGTTCTTGCTTCCGTTACTCAACCTGTTACCGCTCTACAAGCTTTGCGCAAAGCCCGGGTTTCTTTTCATTTGGACCACGACGGCCAATATCAAGCAGTTGACCGCGCTACTCAATGGCGACAAATGGAACAAGAAGTTCCGCCGGTCCGAGGAATTGGTGTTTGTGCCGGTGGATGAAAACAGCCCCTACTTCCCGCAGGGCCAAAATGACGGTTTTTACAGTGACCCTTCAAATGGCAACTGCCAGTCTCTCTTGAGCAGAAAGCAGTGGCACTGCTGGATGTGCATCACCGGTACCGTCAGGCGCTCTACGGACACGGACTTGATCCACTGCAACATCGACACAGATCTACAGATGGACCTGAAGTCCAAGTCTGCGGGCGATGATGGCTACAACAACGCAGTTCCGGAAGCAATTTACCGAGTCGCTGAGAATTTCTCCAATTCAAACAGGCGCTTGCACATCATCCCGTGCAAGACAGGTTACAGATTGCCCGTGAAAATAAGGAAAGGTTGGGTCATCATGCTGCCGGACGTATTGGTGGACAACTTCGATCCAGTCAGCTATGAGATGCAACTACACGCAAACTCTATGGTCAAATACAAGTCCATCAACTCCAGCGGCATGCTGAAGCAGGTTCCCCAATATTTGGTCCCACAAACATCCGAGATTGAAGCACTCAGGCCGAAGAGTCCGGTTTAGAAAGAAAAAGAAAAGAAAAAAACTGGGAGGCTTGAACAAAGAAATTTAAATGGTTCTGGTTATAATGGTGGTCGGAATTTTCTGATAATGTTAGTACACAAGCAAAAACAAAATAAAGTCGTGTTGTCAGATATAAGTTGGATTAGGAAAATTTATCAGCATCGCTTTCACTCTGAGTGAGCTGAGTTAGGTTATCATCACAAACACTGGTGTTTTAGTTGCACATACACTTTGGGCTGCTGAACAATTATGTTGCAGGAGTGGAGAAGGGAGACGGGTGAAAAAATATTTATATGGGACCCGCGGGGCGGGTAATGGCCTGGGCCATTCCTCTGCCTGCTTCGCGGGCTCACGTCGAGAGGTCCGGATGTCCGAGCAAGAAATTGATTGGCCCAGATCATCCTTTAACAGAGCCTGAAGTTTTCCTCGCGAGTTTGCTTTAATTTGCATTCATATCGAGCTTCCAAAGCAGCCTGACAGAGTGTTTTCCATCTTCCCTGTAAGAAACTTTGCGATGGAATGATTTCCAAATTTGTCAGCACAGGTTTCCTGTAGGGCATCCTATGTGCGCTAAACGCAGGACATGTCGTCCTTTCGCTTCGTGGCGAAGCTCCTGTTGGACATATTCATCATTCTCGAATTGGGAGATCTATTAGAGATCGATGAGCCAATGGCACCCAAGTTTCCGTCTTCAATGAGCCAGGCATCTCACGCGTAACATTTCCGGCAATCACTAATTCTTGGAACTACCGTGGGCTGATTTGGTAACTATACGCCTTTAGCTATTGGCTGAAATGCTATTGCATGCCGGCTCTCACACCTTCTCATGGTTGGCCGCCGGGGCCAATTGGATATAAAAGGGGAACACCCCCACTAGAAGCCGTTCTGTGCAGGCCAATCGCTTCCGAGCTTGATCCGAGCCCCACGCGTAAGCCGGGGTTCCCCGGGGCACGAGCGCGGCTATATAAAGGCACTTCCCCACAAATTCATGCTTCGTGAACCGAAGCAAGAAATATAAAGCCGCCTGTTCGCAAAATATTTCACGAGAGTCCAAAACCTGTCCTTCGAGCAATCAACAGGAACCCCATTTCGCGTATACAAGCAAGCACCCAGCAAACAATCCATTGAACCAAACAAAATGGCTGCAAAGATTACTGTGAAGACACCTATAGTCGACATGGACGGTGATGAAATGACCAGAATTATCTGGCAGTTCATCAAGGACAAGCTCATTTTCCCTTACTTGGATGTGGACATCAAATATTACGATTTGGGCATTCAGTATAGAGACCAGACCGACGACCAGGTGACCATAGATGCCGCTGAGGCGGTCTTGAAGTATGGTGTTGGAGTCAAGTGTGCCACAATCACGCCCGATGAGGCACGCGTCGAGGAATTCAAGTTGAAAAAAATGTGGCTTTCTCCCAATGGTACCTTGCGGAACATCTTAGGCGGTACGGTGTTCAGGGAGCCAATTGTCATTGACAACATCCCCAGAATCGTCTCACAATGGGAAAAGCCCATTATTATTGGCAGACATGCATTTGGCGACCAGTACAAAGCCACCGACTTGGTGTTTCCAAAGGCGGGCGAATTATCTCTTGTGTTCAAGCCTGCCGATGGCGCGCCTGAGGAACACTACCCCGTGTATGATTTCAAGGGCCCGGGTGTAGGCATGGCAATGTACAACACGGATGCTTCTATCCATGACTTTGCCGAGTCCTCATTCAAGTTTGCCTTGGACAGAAAAATCAACCTTTTTTCTTCCACGAAAAACACTATTTTGAAGAAGTACGATGGTCGCTTCAAGGACATTTTCGAGGAGATGTACGAGAAGAAGTACAGAGCCCTTTTTGAGGAGGCCGGTATCTGGTACGAGCACAGATTGATTGACGACATGGTTGCGCAAATGTTGAAGTCCAAGGGTGGCTACATTATTGCTATGAAGAACTACGACGGTGACGTGCAGTCTGACATCGTCGCCCAAGGCTTTGGGTCCTTGGGACTCATGACTTCCGTCCTTATGACCCCCGATGGAAAGGCATTTGAGGCCGAGGCAGCCCACGGCACTGTGACGAGACACTACAGACAGCACCAACAAGGCAAGGAAACGTCGACCAATTCGATTGCCTCGATTTTCGCATGGACGAGAGGCTTGATCCAGAGAGGAAAGTTGGATGACACACCGGACGTTGTCAAATTTGGTGAAAGCTTAGAAACTGCAGTCCTTGAGACCGTTTCCAAAGACGGCATCATGACCAAAGACTTGGCTTTGTCCCAAGGCAAGACCGACCGCTCTTCGTACGTGACCACTGAGGAGTTCATCGATGCAGTGCAGGCTAGATTGAACAAGAACTTGGGCTTGTAAGATTGCAAGGCTTATTGTGCTGCAGAAATGGCAGTTGCTCTAAAACCGTATTTATTATGATTTGATGTTCTGCCCGCAGATATCGCGTCCTGGAAATATCCCTCGTTCTTGATGAATTCGGGGGTAATAAAAGCTTGTTTGATACTCTTTTTTCTGCCGAGACCTTCGTAGCCAGCTAGCCTATTTCAATCCAGTTCAGAAGAGCCACAGGAGATAACATGTCTCACATCCAGCTGGTGACACTCCCAGCAGAACTGAAGGTGCTTTTCGAATATTATCCTGTAATACGCACACGGGGCAGCAGCAACGTGGCATTGGCTATACTGATTTATTTGAAATAGCCTTTCGGATCAAACGAACAACGAGAACAGTCAGCAAGGCACGTGTCTAGAGAAGGTTACCATGCGAAAGATGAAGTATTGAAAAGGACGAATATGGATATAGAGTGGATGGGTTCATTACATAAATGCATATCCAAATACTTAAATCAGGATTCTGAAAAAGTAGTAGATAAAGACGCAAAAACAGATATTTGCCCCGGGCAAACGGAAAACTACTTGACAGGACACAGATTAGGCTATATATTCTGATTACAATTCTCAAAGGATGGAAGGCAATGCAACATTTTAGGGCATGGTAAACTACTCTTTGGCTCAATCACTATTTGAGGACTCACTTAGATCCTTAAGTGGATCACGACAAAAAAGAAAAGACAAGCTATCCACTATGTATTCCACAGATCCGTGCCGCTTCAATATTGTTTGGATAGCCAAACATATGCTTATTTGCAGAATTTTGAGTAGCATCCTCCGTAGCTTGCAGATGTAAGCATGGAAGAATAACCATACTTCTTAGCATCTCATGCAGCTCAGAGAAACATCGCCCGGATAAAGAAACGAACTTTGTCACTTATTATTATAGTCTGCATATAAACATATGTCATATGGGTTTTCGCGTTAAGATCTTGGTGGCGGCCAAATTCAACCTTGTCTTCTTCTGAAGCGGCAAAAAAACAGCACAAAACAACAAGAAGAAATGGAAGAACAAGAATAGAAACTTAGAAACGATTATGAACGAGCAATTGTGAACAAACTCAGAAAAAAGGATCGCTTGATTGGGTCTACTGGTCCTTCAATCATAGAGTACACCAGCTCTCGCTTTCGATACCTGTTTATTTGAGACATCAAAAACTAAATACAGAGACTATGTCACAGGAATACTTGAACAAGTATCGAAACGGAACTGCTCTCCTTACTAGGCGGGCTGTTTGCAATCGGGTAGCCGCTGTGTCACGTGACACGGGGCTCCCATTAGGTCACGTGCACGCCTGCTTCATTGTAGTGCGCGTCAATGCGCACCTCATATTAGCCCAAAAATCTCTCAAGAGTCTTCGTCTGTCAGTCACATCTTGCAGCCTGAAATCAAAAGCAATCCATCCCCCACATCATGAATGTAGGATCGATTCTCAATGGTGAGTCGCCCTCGAAGAGCGGCGACGTTGACAGCAAGGAGCCGGTGGGCCAGCGGCCCTCGCTACCTGATCTTCCCCACCGGCAATCGATCAATAACTTGCTCAACGAGACTCCCAAAAACAGGCGTGCGGGGACAAATCCACAAGGCAGCTCTCTGCCAGATCCCCAAGTGGGATCCGACGCGTCTGAGACAAGCTACCCTGCCAATTCTGATGAGGCCGAAGACGAGGACGATGTGGATGCGGACGCAGAGGATATCGACCGTGAGCTAGCCGCCGCCAGTTTGAAAGAGGAACAGGAGGCAGAGGCGCAAAAAAAGGCGGCAGAAAGAATCGCTGAGGTGCTGCGCGATCAGTCTGGAACAGTCCAAAATGACACCGCAGGTACGTCCGCCAATGCGAAACGCAGTGATTTTCTCGATACCGAGCTCAAAAAGCTACAGCAGCTCAAGGCTGCGCGGAAGAAGCCTGTCAGGTACCAAGAGCCGCCGGTGTGGGCCCGCCAGTGGATTCCTCCATCGCAGCAGGGCCAAGGCATAAGCAGCAGCAGTTCCGAGGGCGGGCCTGGGCCCGCATATGTGGGCCTGGTCGGCAGCGCGGGCCCAGCGGCGAAGTCCGTGTTTTCGCGGGAGGCCATGGTGCTGTCGGACTTGGAATGTCTGATCACAGGCGTAATTCCGCCCCAGCTGACGGTCCGTACCATTGCCGAGTGGCTCTACGCCAATTTCGTCGAGATCCTGCTTGAAAACCGGCAGTATGTGGAGCTCGAGCTCAAGTTCGGCACCCTCGTCGATAAAGACACAGGCTCGCGAATTGACGTGGGCGTGTCCACCGAGTGCATCTACACGAAAACGGCAAACACGCGGTTTGACATGGGTGTGCACGAAGTGGGCTGGCGCGAGATGCGGCTGTTCTTGGACGAGTTGGAAAAGAACTACGCTGAGGCCGTTCGTAAAGACCCTACCCGGCCGCGGCGTAAGTTCTCACTCACGGAGTCGAACAACACCGACTACTTCTACCAGATCACTGAGCGCAACGAGAAACCCCGCAAAATCCGCATCTCGAAGGACAACCTGCTCAGTCCACCGCGGTACACTGCAATCTCAAAGCAGCGCGTCTCCGACCTTTTCATCCACAACCCTTCGTCGATGTATGATCTCAGACTCTCGCTTCTGATTGAGTTCCCGGTTGACGCCCAGAACATTGAACCCATCATGAAGAAAAACAAGCCCTCTTTGCAGCGCGGCAAGGCACGTGCCTCATACTCACATGCGCCCACGGTAACGCGCTTCGACTTCACGGAGGTTTCGTCGCCAAGAGCATCCAAAAACAAAGCTGGCCGTGCCGTTGCAGAGCACGAGAAAACCCACGAGTTGGAGCTCGAGATAGACACGTACCAGATCTTCCGCGGCTTTGACCGTGTCCGAGATGGATCCGACACCATCCGCTTTGAGGAGTTGGTAGAAATTTTCCTTAATAATGCGCGGTGTCTCAATAACCGTGTCACCAAGTTGGCGTCGAAATAGGCATGGCAATAGGGGACAAGGTACAACGGACACAAGTACCAAGAAGAATAAAAAAGAACTATTGAATCCAGCGAGACTGAGTTTAGTAGAGGTCGTGATGTATTATTCTGGTACCAGCTGCGGCACGCCGACGGTACGTGCGGCTGGGATTTTGTTTTAAGATAGCCAGCTTTTGTACTGCCGCCGCTGCTGCCATCCTTGGTGTTTTTCAAAATCTCACACGTAAATATGCGATTTGAGATACCTCTTCCACAAATGGTTCAATGATCCAGGCCAGCCACTGACTGAATCCCAATCATTGAAAATAAAATTAGGGCGACACGTGCGTATACAAGCGACCATACACTCCCACACATGCAGAATGTTGCGGTCGTTTGTTTGGATTTCATACCAGCAAGAAACTAAGATATGATTGTGAAACAGGATAATACCTTTCGCAATATATTTGGTCAATAAGTACTCGATGTGTATCCCAAGTCGAGAGCGGTTCTCAATCATGAAACATCTCACAGCTTGGCTTCCCCGGTTGTGTGCAGGTCTACGTCAAGACGATAGTTCAGGTACACGCGGATGCGTCGAAGGACGGAACCGTGTAAAAAGAAACCATAAGACGCACAGAGAAAAAGCAGGCTAAGCCCGAGAATTACAGATCATGCTCGGTATTTCGGCATCGCTCTTCTTGTCGCTAGCCGCGTCTCTTGTTGTGGTTTTTTTAAGCATGTTACAGTTTTTGAAACACCAGCCACGTGCAGAAACCAGGTCTGAGACCAAGTACAAAACAAATGACGGCTTGGGCCCTGTCCACGAGCTCCCGAAAAGGCTCCGCTCACGTGATTGCAGTCCACAAACAGACTCGAACTTGGAGCTCTCGGTAGTCGTTCCCGCTTACAATGAAAAAGCGCGTTTGGGCAAGATGCTCGATGAAGCCGTGGTGTTTTTGGAGCAGCACTATCAAGGAAAGTACGAAATTGTGATTTCGGACGATGCTAGCCATGATGGTACCGGCGACTTTGCCTTAGGTGAAGCCACTAGATTGAGACTTGCGCCACACGTCTTGAAAGTCGTCACGTTGGTGGAGAACAGGGGTAAGGGCGGCGCCGTGGCACACGGCATCTTGCATGGTGGAGGAAAATACTTACTATTTGCTGATGCCGATGGTGCCACAAAGTTCAGCGACGTTACGAAGTTGCTTGCCCATATGGAAGGCCAGGATAAGGGACCTGCTGTGGCAATCGGGTCACGAGCCCACATGATCAACTCCGATGCGGTGGTGAAACGGTCTTTCATCCGCAATCTAATGATGTATGCGCTCCATACCTTGGTATTTGTTTTCGGTATCAGAGATATTCAAGATACACAGTGCGGATTCAAGATGTTCAATCGCGAATCTGCGCTGATGATCCTCCCACATATGCATACCGAACGCTGGATTTTCGACGTGGAGATCTTGCTATTGGCAGAGCTCCAGAAGATTCCGATTGTCGAAATTCCTGTGAACTGGCAGGAAGTGGACGGCTCGAAGGTTGACTTGGCAAAGGATTCAATCCAAATGGCCGTGGATTTGGTAGTGACGCGCATGGCGTACATGATTGGGATATATGGTATTGACGAGTGCGGGCATTTGCGTAGATAACTTCATGGTATAATATAAGCTCAACAGTATCTTCAATATTCTGGGCGCCGCCGCTGTGTGAAGAGGGGTGAGGTTTCATTGAGTGATATCATAAAACTCGGTCTCATGTTGCTCTAATGTTGGGTACTATCTATTGAAAAGTTGTATTCTTTCAATTAGTTGGGAGACTCGGACGCTCGCAATGACAACTAGGAAGCCCCTTGTTTATTCAGGTCAGTGAAGCGTCTCAGTTTGACAAAGATATCTTTCGCATACGACACTTACTTATATCAAGAAATATGTTGGCCCTGAACCGGACTAAGCGTCGCCTAATTTCTAAGCCCCAGACAATCCTACAACAAGAAAGGGTCCATAATTATTTTGCATTTGTAAACATTTGGGGGAAGGTTCAAGTATTAGAATGATATAAAATGTTTAATCCAAACCTTTTTGCTTTCGATGTCCCTTCGCATATTTTATTAAAAAAAAAAGTTTGAGATTTTATAAAACCTTGTATTTCCCAAATTGCGCGTTTATTTGGCGATACTACAGGGAGTCTCTGTATACTCACTCATTTTTTTTCAACTCTAACTTTCAAGGACCACTTGATCAGTAAAAGAGCTTTGATGGCTGCAAAAAAATTAGGACCCGAGTAGGTCACAGCTCATTGACTTTCAAATTTAAATTGTCGTTATTTTGGGATCTGCTAATTGAGGCGCGCTTGTTTGGGCGATGACTCGGGCTGTGGTCACTTTAAGCCTTACTTTAAGCCTTGGTTCATGTGATGCACGAAGAGATACTGGTCACCCAAACATATGGCAGCGAAAATTAATGCAAATATCATCCAATATTTATGGGTAACCATGTTGGAAATATGGTACCAGAACAGCCTCTGACGCATATAGTCGAAAGGAAATAAATATCTGGTCCTGCAGATCGTGGCTCGACTCTAAGCTTAGCGGCTCAAAACACGCACCTTTACCCCACTACATGAAGCACAGATAAGTAGGTCTTTTATTGACAGCCCTAGATGATACTTATCAGCTTATAATTGGCGGCTCACTGTCTACGTCGCCCTCAGGCTCCTTAAGAAGACAATTGGGCCTGTCTAGATTTGGCTGCTCTGGCCTAAGCCCCTCCGTATGCAGGCCACAAACACTATATACACAATATTCATGAGACTGCATTGTCTACTTCTGGGTGCTTGAAGCTTGCAATTGCTCAGCATGTCGTTTACATTTTGTGTATTTCTTGACCAGAGCGGCGTGTCCCATTGATCTAGCACTGTGATTTTGGACCATAATCCAGATCTTCTTGTGTAGGACTCTCAAGCCGCTAGACTTATCAACCGAAAACCAAGTCGTGCACTGGCATAGTATCGAAACAACCTCCAAGAGTCTTCATGTTGTCCAAAAGGTTCAGGGTGTTGCTTTTGACCGCTGTCCTGGTGATAGGTACCCTTCTTATTATTCTCGTTTTCCATCCAGAAGTCTTGAGTGCACAGGATCTCGCCTCGCCAATCTGGAAGTCTGACCTTCTTAGTACATACTACATTCTCGACGCCCAATGGGTTGAACAACAGCCAACTTTCAAGCATCTCTTGAGCAAATCGGAGCAGCCGCCAGTGCCGAAAAGCGAGCTCAAAGAATACATCATACAGCAGTTCCGAAATTCCGGCACAGCTTTCCTCAAGAAAATCGAGGAGCAAGTTCGGGACGAATACACAGACGGGTTCACCGAGGCCTTGCGGAACGAAATACGCCAGAAAATGGTGCGGGAGGCCACGGAAAGAAAATTTACCAGCGACGTCAAATCCTACAAAATCGCAGAGGAACTCAAGGCACAGTACTTGAAAAACAACGAGCAACCGCTCAAGGATGAGCTTGTGAAGGAGTTCTTACTGGAAACCTCCGACGAGAATCTCCGCACTAAAATCAAGCAAATGGAGTCGCTTAGCATTGACCGGGGCACGTATTTCGAGAATATCTTCGAGCACATTCTCAGTGACTTCAGCCCCAGTGGACGAGGTGTTGCTCAAAAAGGCCAGACCGTGCCTCTGAACGGCTTAAGAGAGGTCACTGTTCCGCCCAAGAGCAGAAAGGAATTGTCAGACGGAAGAGTCAGCATCTCCGCTGAAGATTTCACAGACTTGCAAGCAAAACACGATGGCTTCGTGGCTTTTCTCCGCTCGTTGTCTGTGCCCCCAACCGAAATTTTCTCGGGCTCTGGCGTTGTGCTCTCCGCTGGAAAGAAACACATTCTAGGGGCACTCAATGTCATCATTCAGATCCGTGAGATGGGGTCCGAGCTTCCCATCGAGCTTGTGCTAGACGTGAAGACGGACTACAACAAGAGAATATGCGAGGTTGTTTTGCCCCGTTTCGATGCAAAATGCCTAGTCATGGAGGAAGTATTGGGGCTGGAGGCCTACGGAAAAAGCAAGCGAGACGGGTTCCCTATGAAGTCCATGGCTCTCATTCTCTCTTCCTTCGACAACACAATCTATCTTGATTCTGACAACTTCCCAATCAAGAACGTGGACGAGCTACTCGAGAGTGAGCCTTATCTTCAAACGAGGTTTCTTCTTTGGCCTGATAATTGGCACAAAGGCGTGTCGCCAACATTCTACGACATTGTAAGGCTAAGTGCTGGTGAACCCATCAGAAGAGACGGCTTTTCAAACGAGGGCGATTTTTCCTCGTACCTATCCAGGAAAAGGGACCTGGAAATATTGCTCCATGACTTGGAGGGGCTTCCACCGTTTGCCAGCGTCGAGTCGGGCCAGCTTGTGTTTTCTAAACGAGAGCATTTTCGCAGTTTGTTTTTGACATTATATTACAACTTGCATGGAGAAAAGTACTACTACCCGCTCATTTACCAAGGGGTATTTGGAAGCGGTGATCGAGAGACTTTCGTCCCAGCTTTACATGTAATGAACGAGCCCTACTACTTGACAGATTGGCGAATGAAATTCAGCGGCGTCAGGCGAGAAAAGGTTAACAAGCCCGGGTCTTTTTTCTTTGATGAAAGCACTATGGTTCAAAGCGACCCTGCGTCGGCTCAGGCTTTTCATAAAAGGTGGAGATCTTGGCTCTCGAAACAAGGTCTCGATTCACGGCTTGATCCTTTTCAAAACGGGGATTATACTCTGAACCTATGGAGACGGTTCTTTGAGGAAAATAGCGAGATGTCCGAGCCTGAGGCCTATTTCTTGCATGTTCACTCTCCCAAGATAAGTTCCGTTTACAACGAGAAATCTTCGAAAGCGCGGTACAATTACCAAGATCGGTATATCAGGGAGCTCGGCGAGGAAGGAAAAGCAGATGGCTTGGGTCCCACAGACTGGGAATTGAAATTTCAGGCGATAAACACCTGGAGCACTTGCGAAGGTATGACGGACGACGAGTACTGGGCCTCGTATCAGCTTGACCAGAAAGATGTATGCAAGAAAATGATGGACTACGTCGAAATCTTGAAGGGCAATTCCGACGCCCCCGGCTCGGCCACCTTGAAATTTCTAAACCCACTGACTCAAGGGTGAGGCCGTCATTGAACGACGAGGCCTGCGACAGGAGGTAAATTTGGAAATGCTGCTCGTTCTGTTTGTGGAACACAGGTCACAAACAATTTATTGAGCTGCTCCAATTTCAAAAGCGCTAATGAGAGCGAAATTTCCTACTGTGCTCAAACACTGGAAGGGCTGTAGATGCGTCAAGCGGCTGGTGGCTTGATTGTGCTGAATGAACAACTCGCGACATGCCTTAATTACGCTTGCTCGCGGAACCGGGGACGAAGAGAACCATGAAAGATTTACAGACTTCTTCACTCCGACCACGTTGGAGTGTTTCTCCTGCGAGCTCATGCATATGTTTGGTACCTAGAATGGTCAGCAGGAGAGACATTTCTTCGTGACCAAACATGGCCCCTCCACAACATTTTTTTCTTCTTTAACATAGAAGCCCAAAATTTGATGACCGCCCTACTGTTTCGCTTGCAACCAAGCACAACATTGTGGGGCCAGAATTCCTATCTCCAGGAAATTGGCCCGGTGATTTCTTCAATTAATTAGTTCGCGATTCGGCAGTCCCGGACTTAGTCGGGTGTGGGGTCGGCGCCGACCCTGGAGCACCTGCAGCCAACCCCTGACTATAGCACACGCCGGGACACGTGCACCGGATTTCCTTCCTGCTAGATTCTTCGCCACTCTAAATTCAAATGGCCCAGTGATGCCTGCAACCTCACTCACCAAATCATGGAACTCCGCACCAATGACAGTATTATGACAATGGGCAGGGTTCGCACTTTAAGCACCGGCTGGGGCGGGTGTGCAGTCAAACCACCACCACTCTTTTCCAGACATGGCGTAAAGAACAGTTCTGTGAGTGAGTATTATCGATTTTTTTTTTCAAGTCGAGACAGCTGTAACCCATAAATTAAGAAAATTGACCTGGTCCTAGAATTTGTCATCGTGGTGCTGCAAATTTGGATCCTGTGTTTGGCGTCCCGAACCTTTTCCGTTCACATACCCGCCGACTCCCTGTCACTCGGAGCGTGAGGCTCCGTGCAGTCCTCCGCGACCGACCCGGCGGAAAAAGGAAGGCCAAAAAAAACGAGGCAAAAGAACCCCAACATCAAATACACCAAATATGTTGAGATCCAACATCAGACAGTTCGTCAGATTCAACTCTTCCAAGGCCGGCCACTACGACGCGGTGGTCATCGGTGGCGGCCCAGGTGGGTACGTGCACGCCATCAAGTTGGCGCAGCTCAACTACAAAACCGCATGTATTGAGTCCCGTGGCTCTCTCGGAGGCACCTGTCTCAATGTCGGCTGTATCCCATCCAAGGCCCTCTTGAACAACTCCCACTTGTACCACCAGATCAAGCACGACTCTGCCAACAGAGGTATCGAGATCGCCGGCGATGTGTCCGTGAACGTGAGCAAGTTGCAAGCTGCCAAGGACAAGGCCGTCAAGGGCTTGACCTCCGGTGTTGAGATGCTTTTCAAGAAAAACGGCGTGACTTACTTGAAGGGATACGGCTCGTTTGTCGACGACAAGACGGTCAGCGTCAAGGGCCTCGACGGTGACGAATACAAGGTCACCGCTGACAACATCACCATTGCCACCGGCTCCGAGCCAACCCCATTCCCAGGCATCGAGATCGACGAGGAGCGCATTGTCTCCTCCACCGGTGCTTTGACCTTGAAGGAGGTCCCAAAGAAGATGGCCATCATTGGAGGTGGTATCATCGGTTTGGAGATGGCCTCTGTCTGGTCCAGATTGGGCTCCGAGGTCACCATCATCGAGTTCCAGGACTCCATCGGTGCCGGTATGGACGCTGAGGTTGCCAAGACCACCCAGAAGTTGTTGGCCAAGCAAGGCTTGAAGTTCAAGTTGAACACCAAGGTCACCAAGGGTGTCAGAGAGGGTGAGAACGTCAAGGTTGGCATTGAGGACGTCAAGTCCGGCAAGACCGAGGAAATGGACGCTGATGTCTTGTTGGTTGCCATCGGTAGACGTCCATTCACCAAGGGCTTGAACCACGAGGTTCTTGGCTTGGAGCAGGACGACAAGGGACGTTTGGTCATTGACTCCCAATTCAGAACGGCCAAGCCACACATTAGAGTCATTGGTGACGTCACCTTTGGCCCCATGTTGGCCCACAAAGCCGAGGAGGAGGGCATTGCTGCCGCCGAGTACATCAAGCATGGTCACGGACACGTCAACTACGGCAACATTCCATCTGTCATGTACACCCACCCAGAGGTCGCCTGGGTCGGTGCCAACGAGCAGCAATTGAAGGCTGATGGCATCAAGTACAAGGTTGGAAAGTTCCCATTCATTGCCAACTCCAGAGCTAAGACTAACCTTGACACTGATGGTTTCGTGAAGTTCCTTGCTGACGCCGAGACACAAAGAGTCTTGGGTGTTCACATCATTGGTCCAAACGCCGGTGAGATGATTGCCGAGGGTGGCTTGGCCATGGAGTACGGTGCTTCTACTGAGGACATTGCCAGAACCTGTCACGCCCACCCAACTTTGTCTGAAGCCTTCAAGGAAGCTGCCTTGGCCACTTTCGACAAGCCAATCAACTTTTAGAGCGCTTCTGAGGTTGTGAGATATCGGATATATGTCTCAGTTGAAAATAAATATCACTACTTGCCCGGGAATGCGTAACGCATTAAAGTAACGTAAAAGACCGGCCCAAAGACCGCATTGAGGAATTACGAATCCCCTACACGATGCAGAAGACTAAATATACTACACGTGGTTCAATGTGTTTCTCTTGTATTATTTATACACTAAGGGGCTGCGGCGCTATCTCGTTAATATGATGTAGAGCGCGTGGATAATACCTGGAATATATCCAAGAAGAGTCAAAAGAATGTTCAAGAAAAAGGCACCTGAGCATCCCACCTCAAGAAACACACCCAAAGGTGGTAAAAGGATTGCAATGATGATCTTCAAGATGTCTCCGCAAACCATTGTGTATTTGTTTTGATGAGAATTTAGACGGTGTTGGATAGGTAGAAATCAATTAAAATAATTCCTTCAACAAGAATGAGTTAGACTTGAGAGAATTTCTGTCGTTGTGGGAGAGGAGGAATTCCCGTCTTTATATACGTTGCATTTTCTTGGACCCCAGCCGCATGATCACTCAATACATATAGCAATGAACAACAGCCGGCATATAGCGCCACATGGAGTTGGTATATGCAGAGAAATACTGAAGAAATCCGTGTGAAGCCATTTTTGGCATGATTTAGACATCTCGCAGATAGCAACGCAAGCGAGAAGCAGGTACAATTGTGTGAGAATTGAAACTATTCAAATTCTAGCTTTTTCTTGCTGCGTCCAAGAGTTGCGATCTTTGAGCGTTGCTATTTTGTTTAGGGATTTTTCAAATTGCTACGTTATCAAGTCTCAAATGTAATATTAATTGAAGAAGATATCCTTGCTATCATGCAAAGAACTGATGTGTGATGTTTTTATTCTCAAGTCCCTCCTGGACGTTCTGCTCGGAATTTTTTTTGAGTAACCTGCTGATGAGTTGAATTACCGAGATGATGACAATAATCAGGTGTATTACCTGTTTCACTCTGTATCGCGTAGAGCAACGTTGGACCTTTCTAAGCCACACGCCCAAAAGTGAGCAACATAAACCCCGCCAGCAGCTTTGATGTGTCTTTTGGGGAAACTATCCAGTATTCCTGTCAACAGTCCCACATACAAGGATGGAAATTTCAGAGATATTCGTATCACGTGACTGCACCTCCGCTGGGGACGAGCAAGTCGAAGTAATACACTCCTTGTTTCCACTTTTGGAGAAAATAGCAAATTCAGGAGTATAGATTTAGGGCCAAACCCTTAGTAGTTGTAGGAATACGGGATGAATGGTCTATCATAGTCAAAGTGTGTCATGATACTGGCGGCGAAAGGCACACAATGTCCCGAGATCGGTAGTTTTCGTCGGATTTATCTCAACGCAGTGTTTAGTCTCTGATACTTTTTTGTTAAGCAGGCGAATCTTCACATCTTTGAGGCTTTAATTTCTGAGATTCGGGCACAAAAAGGCTAATAAATGAGTCTTTTACAGTTTAAGCAGACTCAGACTTTGTCTACTTGGTATACCTCCCAAAGCTCTTTAGTATTCTTTCTTCATTTGCCAGAGTCTGTCGGATGTATTCACAAGCCGATGCCATAAAAGAAACCCCATTATTACCTGGATTTGCCAGAGAAATACTTCTGGTTAATAAATGCCTACTTTGATCGGCAGTGTATGAAAGAACCAGATGGAACAAGCATATGTCAATACCGTGCTCTTACAAGAAAATATTATTCATTACGAATTTCAAACGAGGCTTGAGGATGCATTTACTTCAAAGGTTTCAAATGGCAATTTCATGTGCGGAAACAAATTGACAAAAGCTGGTATCGCATGCCAACATCTTCGACTGGTGATTTTGGAAACATACCCGATTTTGGAGATGCGCTATGTTGCATGGATCTCAGCTCCTCGCTTGTGAGTGGCTTCTTTGTTGCACTTTGAAGCAGCTCCAAAACGCACATTCCATTACTGAATCGTTTGCGCCAGGCATTTTAAAGGACCCGTTGTGCTAGATTACAACAGGAGAGTTGGGCGTCTTTCGAACTCCTGGGAGTTCGCAGAAAACGGCCCACTAATAAATACTAGCCTTTATTGAACACCCCAATCAACACTCCCCTATTATAATCTATTCTCTAGCAAACACTTCAAATATCAACAACACCAGCAAGCCACTGGCCCGCAAGGGAAGGGTCAGGTATTCCAGCTCCGCCGGGTATATATGTTATCACAACTCCCACAGGTGTATCTTACCCCGAACTTATCCGAGACCGGAAATATCCTAATATTGTAAGGTCAATCAAAGGGTCCGCACTTAAGAAATAAGTTCGCTCCCGGGAATAGAGTGGATGGAAATAAAATTCGCAATAAAGGTAGGGTATGATTATGGTAAGTGGCAACAAGTCAACGGGTGTACTATCGTACTTCCAATACTGCTCGATTTACGTTTGCTCTATGAAAAACCAAATTATCCAGTATGAGAGATATGGAATAATGTTTATACTTATAATTGTCATCCCTAAACAATGATAAATAATGTGACTAAACTTATTAGTATACTAAAAGAGTAGCCGGGGATATCATGTAGGTAGGTTATCTTATTATTGACGAACATTTCAGCTAATCTAATTATATGTGGTTCGAGATTCATGGATCTTTGCGGGCACAATGAATGAATGTTTGCACATATAGGAAATGAATGTTCGTTAACACAGCAGATACGAATATTTCTTACAAAGTAGTGTGCACGCAAGTGATATAGACAACTGTGAATTGGGGGAAATGAGCTCACGGAAGCCATCAACAAAACCTAGGCAAGAGTTTCAGAAATGCAGTGAAAAAGAAATGGAAATGCCTGCAGTGGTCATTCACACAAACCACAGGATAGAGACAGAGATATAGTAGTCATGAAAACTACGCAATAGAAATGAAGAGGCGCTTTCAATAGTTCTGAAGACTACCTACTCGAGTATGAGCCGGCCCAAACAATAAGGCATTCTGGTGATGTACCTTGCGCTACAAGCTCCACATGGTTTTCAAGACGCCTTGGTGCAATTTGAGTCCCCAGCCCACTGGCGGGGGCTCGATGGACAGCGTATTTTGGGAGTTGAAAGAGCTGGCGCAATGGCAATCATGATCCAAGAATCTCCAAACATGGGGCTTACCCCTAGTTGGCAGTGAATGCAAGAGCAGAGGCAGCCGGCGCTACATGTTCCACGTGTGCTTGTTCACTAGTGTTTCTGATGTCCTAGGCCTAATGCTACTAGGCCATACATAGTATTTGAATTGGACGGGGCGGCCTACAAATCTACCAAAACGACCCGAGTCAGGCGCCATGCTGCTCCAGATGCATGACGCATGGAATCTGTATTAGGAGGGGCTGGCTGGAAGGGCCATTTCGCAACTGCAAAGGCATGAAAGGAAGACCGGGAGTAAAGAAGTGGGGCATCCGAGGCGGGACTCACGATCAACAAAAATATCAATCAAAAAAAAATCTAGTAATCAAAAAAAAGAAAATCAAAAAAAAACAATAAACAGAAAACAAATAATCAAGAAAACAAATAATCAAAAGCAAATAAAATAAGAATTAGCACGAGCAAGCAAGAAAAAATTCAATTTTCCAAGCCCAGAAACTTAAAATTAACTATAAAATTTATTATATCATAAAACTATATATATAAACATTTATGACTTAATATTAAATAAGGCGTATACAAGTGATATGACAATTATAATAGACCACCCGACATCCCCAACCTTCGGTTGGGGATAACCTTATGGTAGGGGGGGAATATATAACATCTCTAAAAACCGTAAGTAACAGATAATACACCATGATACTAAATTAATTATGGTGAATGATTATAATAATAATATTAACATAGAGGTAATAACTTAGTATAAATATATCTTGTTTAAATAGATGTTACCAGTTATTATATTATGTATATGATGTATATACTAAATACGACATGAAGTTAAAGATAAGATAAGAATATGAACTAATAGATATGATAATTAAAGAATAATAGATATGATATTTATATACCCAATTATGGAAGATAATCAAAATATAATAGTGTATATAATTAATGATTGAAAAAGGTAAAAGATAACTAGAATAAATAAGTATATGAAATAAGAGAGGTAAATGAAATAAGAGAGGTAAATGAAATGTACAGAAGTCAAGTCTAATAGAAGGTGACATATTGAAAATTGGTATATGTAAAGAGTGTTAATTTAGGATTATTAGACTAATTTTTTGAAAAAATGATAAAAAGACGTAAGGTCAATCTGAAACATGAAAGAAAAGCAAGTGGAATGAAACATCTGAGTAACTTGCAAAAAAACCAACAGGGAGAATATAAGTAACGGTGAGTGAAAGTATAAAAAGGATCAAAAATTATTAAGAAGTATGAATAAAGTAGAAACCAACTACTAAGATAAGAAAGAAAAAATCAAGAGTAAAGTACCGCGACAACTCTTTGGGGAACTTGGCAAAATTAATTAGTTCGTCACCACGATTCTCAAGGTCTACACTAGAAGGCGTGGCGAGTGGCATGAAGCTGGCTCCTCAAGTCCCCTACAACAACAACCATCTGAGTTCAAGCGACTACAACAGGAGACCTATCCTAAGGGACGATGACGTGTTATCCAATACGTAAACAGATACGGCCGCGGCTAACGGAAGGAACGGGCCGTGTTTCGGCACTTGGTGCGTAGCTGGGAGCTGTTTAAAGGATTTATCTATTATCCATTATCCATGTAGTCTTGCCCTTTAATCAGATGAATCTATCAAAAAAAAAGGCAGAACCCAAGCAAGCCAGGAACAAGCAAACACAAACCACTCCAATCACCAGTCACTCCAGTCACCTCCAGACACCAGCGCTCCAGCCACCCCAGCCCCGGTTGCCAGGCCAGGCCCGCGGCGCCGTGCCTCGATTTACGCGGGCGCGCGGCCCCCCCCGCCCCCGCAGCGTAATCCTCAGACCACCCGAAAACTCTGTCGGCCCGGCCACTGCCCTGGCGCACTTCACTAGACGGCCCAACCAGCACATCGCCCGCCAGACCCACCCCCTCTGCACCAAATGTCGGACTTGTCTTTGCAGATCTTGAAAGCGGTGGACCAGCACAATGGCATCGCCAACACGTTGGAGCTCGCCGAGTTCAAGCACATCGACGTCAACACGTTGCAGGCGTCGTTGACGTCGCTCTGGGCGAAAGAAATGATCAACTTCAAGAAGCTCGAGAGCGACCTCTGGAGCTTGACCCGCGAGGCCGAGGAGTTCCTCGTGTCGGGGTCGCACGAAATCAGGCTTTTGGACGAGGTGATGAAGTCGCTCGAGGGCTTGAAGATCGCCGACGTCAACGCCAGGTTGGGCCAGGTGGGCAAGTTGGGCCAGGGCAAGGCGTTCAAGAACGGCTGGATTTCCAAGGACGGCGACCGCTTGGTGGCCGCGGTGGGCGCGTTGCCGCGCGACGCGGTGGTGGAGCAGTTGCGCGAGGTCAAGAGAACCGGCGGCTTGGCCGACAAGAAGGACTTGGCCGAGTTGAAGAAACGCAAGTTGCTTTCGTTGTCCAAGATCGTGGGCTACCACGTGACCAAGGCGCCCCGGTTCGCCTTGTCCATCGCGCGCGTCGAGACGGACATCACCTCGGACATGGTGGCCAGCGGCAGCTGGAAGGACGCGGCGTTCAAGCCCTACAACTTCAACGCCGAGGGCGCGTTCCCCGTGTCCGGCGCGTTGCACCCGTTGATGAAGGTGCGCGAGGAGTTCCGCCAGATCTTCTTCTCCATGGGCTTCACGGAGATGCCCGCCAACCAGTACGTGGAGTCGGGCTTCTGGAACTTCGACACCTTGTTCGTGCCGCAGCAGCACCCGGCCCGCGACTTGCAGGACACCTTCTACTTGAAGGACCCGGCCGTGGCCAAGGCGCCGGAGGACACGCAGTACTTGCGCGACATCCAGGCCGTGCACCAGGACGGCAAGTTCGGCTCCATCGGCTACCGATACCCGTGGCGGCAGGACGAGTCGCTCCGCATGGTGTTGCGCACACACACCACGGCCATTTCCGCGGCCATGTTGAAGAAGTTGGCCGAGGACCCCAAGCCCACGCGCTTGTTCTCCATCGACCGCGTGTTCCGCAACGAGGCCGTGGACGCCACGCACTTGGCCGAGTTCCACCAGGTGGAGGGTGTGCTTGCAGGGTACGACATCACCTTGGGCGACTTGATCGGCTTCATGGAGGACTTCTTCTCCAAGATGGGCGTGGACGGCTTGCGTTTCAAGGCCGCCTACAACCCGTACACGGAGCCCTCCATGGAGATCTTCGCCTACCACAAGGGGCTAGGTAAGTGGGTGGAGATTGGCAACTCGGGCATGTTCAGGCCGGAGATGTTGGCGCCCATGGGCTTGCCCTCCAACTTGCGGGTCTTGGGCTGGGGCCTTTCTTTGGAGAGACCCACCATGATCAAGTATGGCGTCTCCAACATCAGGGAGTTGTTGGGCCACAAGGTCTCGTTGGACTTCATAGAGACGAACCCGGCCGCCAGGTTGGACGAGGACTTGGTGGGCTGAGCGCCCACGGGACGGGCACACGGAGTATACCATTAATACATTCACTGACGCATGAGTTGTTTCTGTGGAGACCGGGGCGGTGTTGTAGAGGTGTGGTTGAGGTGTTGTGGTGTTGTTGTGGTGTTGTAGAGGTGTTGTAGAGGTGTTGTAGAGATGTGGTTGTAGTCTTCGTGTTATGGTGTTCTTGTTGTGGTCTGTTTGGGCAAACTCTGGTGCTTTGCTCAGATGGCTACTTTCGGGAAGATTCGGGGTTCTACTATTATGGCTAATATGAAATCAGCACTGGCTGGAAAAGCCCGAGAAGCACAGGCCAGTGGAGACTGGTTAAGGGAGTCAACTTTGTTTGACGAGGCCAACCGACAACATTGCAGA